TCACATCAGAAATGTACAGAAGGTCCCGACATCTGCAGCAGTCAGGAATGCCAACATTTCATTTTTACATTGAATTGCTACAGAGGATGAAAAATGGGTTTTGCAAGTCAACAAAATAATTAAAAAGATAATGGTTATCCAAAAAAGAAAAATTAGTGTGAAGGCTAAAACAAAGACATGATCTACAGAACTCCTTGAAGGACCATCACTACAGATATAAGGATGGGTGCTTCTTCCATATTTATCAGCTACAGATTTTCATTGATTTTGATCACTAGAATATTTCATAAGTCACAGAACAAAGCCAACACCATAAAATAGCTTTTGCATCTTTTGCAAATATTCTTTCAGATGATCTTTCCTCTTTCATTCCTTGAATTAAAAAATTCAAACAGATTGGCAGTTAGGTCTCATAAATTCACTGATTCTACTTATTATAAAACACAGATTGTGTGTGTGTGTGTGTGTGTTTATATATTGGATTGGATTTCCTACATTTTTCAACCGATTTCAACAAAACATCACAGAACTGTGTAAAATTACCTTGCAGTGGTTCTGACAGCATCAAAAATTGGAAAAACACAATTGTTTTTGCCTGAAATCAATTTGAAAACATAATAAAACACGATTCTGTAGCCAGAATAAAGGGGGGCAACTCATATCGATTTATACTTAAAAAAACCAGGTTGTTTGTGTGTGTGTGTCTGTGTTCATTTATATATGGGATTGGATTTCCTACATTTTTCAACCGATTTCAACAAAAGTTCACTTTTTTTTTGGCAGGTAGTGTTTCTTATTGTCTTGCACACTTTTTTTTATTTATTTTTACATTCAGAATGCTTTAAAAATTCCATTTAAAATAAAATTCTATTCAGTCGATAGACTCATAATGATTGAAAAGAATGTTTTTGTTTGAGTTTGGGTTTGATCAATTCGTAAAAAAAACAAAAAAAAAAAAAAAATTAAGACATGCGTGTCTGTCAACCTTAAACAATAATTTTTTGTCAATTTTATTTTTCAGTCTTTATGATGGTTAATACTTGCTCTATCTCTTACTGTTACATCTCTGGGCAACGCCAGGCTCTACTGCTAGTATAATATAACCTTAAGTTCTGTGTTAATAGTTTCTTCCCTCTCATTTCTCACTTCCAGTCTCTTACATCCTTGTCAAATATGATATTCAAAAATTTAAATGCAATATCAATCGTCATCTTCTATCTCCTTGTTCTTTTATTTTATTTTCTTAATTTTTTTTGTTTCTTTCACACTCAGTAAACCCTTGGATCCTAGTGTCTTTATTACCTTCCTTGGGGTTAATGATTTTAAAAAAGAAAAGAAGCAGCAGTCATTGAAAATGAAGACAATTGCATTTTCGATTAATTGCCTCATCAAATATTGATGTCATATCTGGAATCTAACTGATTCCAAAATGTCTAAACTATCAGCTATATGCAATATTTAAAAAGGGCCTTGAGTGAATTAACCCTGTAGGTCTTGGAGAGAACCATGTTTCTTTGAAACTCATGCAGTAGCACTGTAGAAACCCAAACAAATTTCTTTCTCAAATAGTGGAATCTCACATCATTTGAGGAATTCCAGATAAACAGCGACAATAAAATTGATAGCCAATGTAATTAGAAGAGAAAATAATATCATGAAGATGTTAACATTCCATGTTAGCTTAAACAAAAGGTTAGGAAGGAAACTCACATCATTATTGAAAGATGTTGAAACTTGACTAATGCATGGAATAGTAATGCAACACAAAATGTACTTAGAACAAAATGTATTGAAACAAGAAAAGTGTACACAATATTTACATATAGTCTTTTGTATATTCCTGGTAAGACTGTTCGTGGAGAATGTGTTGACTGAGTCGTAGTTGGGCAGATTCTCTGGTTGAATCTCTTGATTCCTCCCTCTCTTCCCGGTACCAGCCATATTTATATGGTCGGTATTCCACTGTGCAAATTAGGTGGATCCTACCACAACAAAAGAGCATTAACAATGGGTTTGGGAAGTCTAATTTCATGAAATATATTTTAAGAGAAAGAGATTTTATAAATTTCAGCCAGCAATAATGCTAGCTGTTTCGTCAATAAATGCCAATATTTCTTTGATATTTAAATAAATTTAACTCACATTTTGTTCTTATATTCTTTCTGGTAAAATGGAATTATTTGCTGAACACCCTAAAAGGGATTGTAGAAAATTTGTTCACCCAACTAATAGTGGCTTCAAAATAAATTATGTTTCTTTCGATTGATCATATTTTGAGAAGTAGGCTGAGCCAAGTAGTTTCCAGTAGTCCTCATATAACATATCCTGTTTGGTCTGTAATTCTTGCATTCAATCGTAACTACTGACAATTATTTTGTTTTAAATTATTTAATCATTTCACTCCCAGCAAGGCATTAATGCCACTAAGATGCAGAGGGTTACTGGGAGTGAAAGAGAATGAGAAAACCTTAGTTAAGAGAAAGCACAATAAAAGAACAGGGGTCAGGAAGACAGATGATAGTGGCTGACATTGCATTTAATGTTTTGATGGTTGTAGGCAGCAGAAAAGTAACAAGACAGAAGAGTTCCTCTGGTGAGAAGTGTGAGAAAAGAAACTGTTAAAACAGAACTTACAGTTACATCTAGCTATTTTAACAGTAAAATAATGAGACCTAACTGCCAAACTAGTAATACGCTTAAATTCATGTGGTTGAGTTACCAAGATGGACAGCTTATTAAAACAACTGCCACAAAAAATATTAACAGAAAAGACAGAGAGAAACCACTTCATGGTGGCGGGAAAGTGATTGAAGTTGAGATATCTGGTCAGGACTGATTGCATTACAAACCCTTCTTTGGATTTTGTCGAAAATCTTGAGGTATATTGCTGGAACACTGGGTCAAATATGGTAGCAATATCCAATGCATGATTAGTAGATTTATAAATGTACAAGTTTGGTTCTGACAAGAAAAAATGTCTGGCATAACATAGTGGACCATCTTTCGTAGCAAATGACTCAACAATTAATTTAATATAATCTTTTCCATTTCATGTCAGTAGAGGAAGCAAGGCTAAGAAAACACAATGAATTGTTTCTTGAAGGTTAGCATCAGCCATACTAATGGAAGGCAAAAATGGTTATCTATGATGATTAAAGGATAGCAGATTCTTTTAGGAGGTGTCAAATTTACAAGCCATTTCTTGCCTTAGTTAACAACTGATTGGAGGTCATTTATGAGAGCAACAGCCAGTTTTACTTTATCAACCCTATTGAACTTTAAAGATGAGTAAATAGCTGTGTCATCAACATAAATACCTAATTGGTAACTGATGTTTTCATATTTTCAGTCCATTTCTCTAGTAAAGGTGTCAGGTTGTCCACATGTAATATATATGCTCTATTTTTCAGTTAAACTTGCATTAATTTTTGCCCACTGACAATCTCATATCTTTTTTCTTTAATATATCATTTTTGTGAAGAATAAATACATTTTTCAACCTTATACATTGAACACATGATCCTTCATTTTGGTATTTCTTTCTGTTTTTGATGCCAGTTATGTATATTTACAGCTTTGAAAATGTTTTTACTTGCCAAAACGTGGTGAACTGAAAAATATAGCAAAAAAAGAAATGACTTAAAATTGTTAACTGTTATTACTATTCACACTTCAGAGGACAAAACATAAATATGCGCACAATCAGTAAAAACCAGGAACAAAAGAAAAAAATACCACCAGTATAACTTACAGATAGATTACATTTAAACACAGTAACCATTCCTTTTGCTTATAGAGGGAAGGCTGCTTAGACTTAATATAAATCGTCTCAAGAACTCACAAATGGTAATAATCTAAATGCATTCTGCTGACTACTGTGAAAAAATCTCTGATAAAATATGAAACACAAATTGGATTATTTATTGGATGTTCTTTTTTAATATTGTTGCAAAAATTTCCACTTTTTGAATTTAATTATTTTATAAGAGATGTTAGATGTGTACATGAAAGAAACTTTAAAGTAAATATTTGTAAATAAAAGGAAAATACTTTTGATACATCCTAATAGGTACTACTACTACTACTCATAAAGTTATTACTACTACTAATAGTAATTATCATATACTGAAGTTATAGTAACAATCATAAGTTATAGTAATAATCATATACTGAAATTATCTTTTACTATGTACATGAAATAAGACTTTGAGTAAAAGGCTGTAAAAACGAAAATACTTTTGATACATCTTAATAGGTAATAATAATAATAATAATAATAATAATAATAATAATAATATTGATAATAATAATATAGTGAAGTTATGACTAATGCAAATGCATTTTTTCTGTATTATTAAAATGTATAAATTATTTTTATTCTCAGAGTTAAAAAATGAAATCATTAAAAAGAATCCTAATGAAGAAACATTGTTTTTTTTTTACCTTTTTAATCTTTTCTTTGTAGAAAGAAAGCGTTATCTGCCGATTGCAGAATCTTCATCAAACAGAACATTGCAAGATAAGCTTAATTAATGAGAGCTTGATGCACTTTATAAAATCAAATTAGTTTCTTTTTTTCACTGCTTCGTTAATGAACTGCTTTTTAAATGGTGGGCATTGTAAATATGAGGATTGCTCCCCATCGTTTTTTGGCATCACTAATTTTTGTACAGTGCTTTAGTCAGTAATTAAAAGCAAGAAAATGGTTTCCTGCAAAATTAACCATTTTCTGCAGATTTTATAAAACATTTTGCACTCAGTTTCTACCCAACTCTCCATATTTAACCAAAACTCATTGGTGTTGATCAGTCTAACAAAAAAAACTGTCTATAAGGAAATTAATTTTTATTCTATTATTTGGTAAAACGTAGAGGAGATGTATTATTGTTAAACTTTTTAGTTATTTGGAACTAATTTGACTTCCCTTTACTTGTAATTAGCATATAGCCAACTGATGCCAAATGTTGGCATTCAAGCTGATGTAAAAGTGTAAATTTCAAATGCTGAAGTTTGATTCAGCAGCATTATCTATCTATCTATCTATCTATCTATCTCCATATATATATTTATGTATATATATATATATATATATATATATATATATATATATATATATATCTTAAAGTAAAACAAAATCTGTTAGTGGAGCCAATGGACAACTTGCCAAAACCTAAATTCTTATCCAGATACAGTCTTGAATAAAGACAACAATAGTGAAAACAAAAAGCAAAAAAATCCTTGAAAGCAAACTTACCTTACTTGTGTTTTACTTTACTCAGTAAAGTGCTCGAGGTCTAGATTGCCCAGACCAAACAAAAACACTTACCAATTTTAAATCTTATGAAAAGACAGCTCTAGTCATGACTAGAGTTTCACGTACACATGATCTTCAGATGGTTTAAACATTAAAGTCGTCTATATATATATATATATATATATATATATATATATATTAACACTTGAGAACTACCAACAGCAGCAACAACTGAAATGGACTTATGTAGCTCAAGGAGAAAATAATGGCTTAATTAAGATGTTAACTTTCCACACTACTTCAGATAAAAGACTAAAAAGAAAACCATTGTCTATACTGGAAAGAGCAATGACAGATAGTGAACTTGAGAAACTCTTTCTCCTGAAAAATTGTTTTAAGATTATATAAATTTCAGCTGAAAGCAGTACTGGCTGCTTATTCAATGAATGCCAAATGTTTCTTTATAAGGAAACAGCTAATATTACCATTACTATATATACAACTGGAGGTTGTTTCTGTTAATGATAGCTTCAAAGAGTTTACTGGTGTCATTAAGGAGGTTGATGGGCCAGTATTGAGATAAGGATAAGCTCTCCCCAAAATTTATGAAGACAACACAAACAGCTCAGACTTTCTCTTACACCTGTAGGAAACACTTTTCTTTCAGGTTCGACAATACTGGAGGTAACTCTGAGCTGAAGTTCTTTAGAACAAACACTGGGATATTATCTGGAGAATAACCTTTGTTGAGTCTAGGATTTCGCTGAGATATCACATAGATAGACAATGAATTAATCAAATGAGACATAAAAATACAAAGGTACAATTGAACAGGGATAGGAGTTTCAAAGAAAATTAATCCAAAGGATTGTTTGTTAATTTTAACGCCTCCAAAACTAAACTTCTTTCCATTAATCATCTAAGAAACCCCTCTCTGCCTTCCAGCCGCATGGCTGATATTAACCTCCAGGAAAGTACGTTGCTGCATCTTAGGCAGGCTAACATTCTCAGCCGACATGAAGTATAAAGACTATATTAAATCTATTGCTAGGTCAGCTGCTAAGAAAGTTGGTCCATTGTATCATGCAAAACGATTTTTCTCTCCAGAATCTTGCATATCTATAAGTCTGCCGTTCACCTATGCTTAAAATATTGCTGCCACATATGGTCAGGTACTGCTGCTATTTACCTTGAGCTCTTTGATAAAATCCAAAGAAGAATCAGCAATATTATTGGTCCGGATCTGGCTGCTCATCTTCAGTCACTTTCCCATCGCCATAAGGTTGCCTCACTGTATTTTTCTATAAATACTTTCATGGTAATTGTTCAGAGGAACTCTTTGCTATGGTACCTAGAATTTGAATTTAAGCACAATACTAGACTGATCCCATCTTTCCTATCAAATTGTGAAATGAAAGCTATCCCGAATAACCACTCATCTTGATTCTTTCGTGCTAATGTAGATGTCCAACAGCACACCATCCTTGGTCCTATGCTGTTTTTAATTTTTATTAATAACCTTCCCAATGACATCAGCTTTCAACTTGTTATCTACACTGATGACACAACTATTTACTCCTGCCTCGATGGTATGGCTGATCAGTTCAACAAGTTCAAAATGGCAGCTGATGTCCAAAATGACTTCAAGTCTGTCTTTAACAAGGGCAAGAGATTTCTTGTTAATTTTAATGTCTTCAAAAAAACCTCTAGGAAAGTAAGTCATTGTGTCTTCATGGGCTAACATTCTCAGCTGACATGAAGTAGAAAGATTGTATTGAATCCATTGCTAGGTTGGCTGCTAAGAAATTTGGTTTGCTGAATCGTGCAAGATGATTTTTCTTTTCGGAATCAATCTAACATCTAAAAGTCTACCATTCACCTATGCTTAGTATATTGCTGCCACATATGGTCAGCTGCCCCTGCTATTTACCTTGAACTCTTTTGATAAAATCCAAAGAAGAATCAGCAATATTATTGGTCTTGATCTGGTAGCTGATCTTCAGTCACTTTGCCATTGTAATAAGGTTGCCTCTCTGTGCTTTTTATATAAATACTTTCATGGTAATGGTTTGCATGAGTTCTCCGCTATGGTACCTAAACTCTTTGAATTTAAGTGCAGTACTAGACTAGTAACAAGGTCTCACCAATTTACAGATGAGCTGGATAGATGTAACCGTATGCTAACAGTTTCTTTTTTTGTACTTCCTGCTTGTGGAAATCTCTTCTGGTTACATGTTTTCCAGCCAAAATTAATCTGCAAAAATTTAAATACAATGTCAATCACTATTTTCTGTCCTCTTGATTACTCTTCCTCTTTTCCCAAGAGCAATTTTCCTTCTCCTAACTCTTCCACACCCAGTAACCCCTTGAATCTCTGTGGATTTACTGCCTTTCCCAATTAAAAAAAATAAAAGACTTAGTCAATACTAAATAAAATAATAAGCTAAATAATCTAATAATAAGCTAAAACTTGAAGGAGGAATATACTTGATCACCTGTAATAATTGCCACAAAACTACATAGGAGAAACCTCAAGGAATCTAAATAAAAGTTTATATGAACTCAAAAGAGACATTTTATAAAAAAATACATCAAATATGTTGGTTGCCTACGATAAGGAAACTGACCATAATTTTGACATGCAAAATGCTACTCTGATTAAAGGAGAAAAACATTCACTATGACAAAAATATTTAGAGATTGCCTTGATCACAAGGTCATCTACAGTAAACTTGCACCCAGGCTCTTACAATATTTCACCATTCCTCTTCTACTATCACAGTGTGGGATATCTACTAACAAAAGTGATGGAAACAAAAGAAAAAGACTCTAAATAAAATCGGCTATTTTAAAAAAAAATTAAATTTTAAATTCTCAGCATCCCTCGTTCATGCACATGTGTAGTCCTACCAACATAACAAATTTAGTCTGATGAAGTCCTAAAGAACAAAATGCATTACTAATAAGACTTTTCCACTTTGTCATGCATTTTTCCCCTTAATGAACTGAACAAATGCATATAAATAGAAACTGTTAAAAAAAAGGATCCATTAGCAGATTTATTTGACCATTACATTCTGATAGAACAAGATATCCGGATATATTATTGGCAAACACAGTCTTAACAATTCAGATAGCAGTGTTCATGGCAGGCATGGAAATATTTCCTAGGATGGTAAGGGATAAAAAAAGGATTAATCATCACTTGTTACAAGTAGAATGCATGTCTGTTAGGAATTTTGATTTCTGAATTGAAGCAAGTACAGTAAAAACTTAAAGAAACAGGAAAAGTTCATTCATAACAAAAAAAAAGAAAGAGTTCTGAAATTCTATGTAATAACAATACTCATTATATGACATTAAATTCTGGACAATTTCTGTCCAGATGAAGAAGTGACTTAAGGGAAAAAATGTAATGCTACAGAAGGATGATGAGAATATTATGGCCTGAGCATGTGAGCATCGAGAAAGTTTCAAGCCAAATAGAAATGAAAAGTACAATTTCTTTCTGTTTTGTATTTTAACCACTTCAACCCAAGCAAGGAAATAATGTCACTAAGACACAAGGGGTTACTGGGAATGAAAGAGAATGTAAAGAAATTTGTGAGGAATAAAGACAATAATAGAATAGGTCTTAAGAAAATGACAATTGGCATTGCAATTAAATTTTTGAAGATTGTAGGTGCCAGGGAAGCTAGAATTTGAGAGGGAGTTCCACAGGTGAGAAAAGCAACTATTAGATTAATTTGAAAGATATAGGAGAAATTTCTGGGATGGGTAATGAGGAAAGGGAGTTTGAAGACATTAATACTCACAAGATGTACTGAAGACAAAACTGATTGATTTATTTGATTTTTATGGCTTTTTGTATGTTATTTAAAATCAGAAATATATTTAGATTGTAAGAATTTTGGGGAAATAACAATGATATCCTGTTAAAAGTCTTACTAATTAACCTGTAACTGGAAAAGGTGGATTCATGCCTTTTTCAAAGGTATTTGTTCTGCTATGTCTCTACTGTCATATATTTCACTTCCATAATTTTTTCATTGCCAGAGTTTTCTAAGCTTGATTGATTTGTATATTTATGGCTTATCAACCTGCATATAACACTCACACACAGTTTTAGTCATGTCAGCCCATATCTTTAGAATAAAAAGACTCAGGAATTCATAACGATTATCATAAAATCAGAAATGTTATTAAAAGACAGAAAATATTTCTCGATTCTGAGTATTTATTTTGAGATAAAACAATTTTTACTGAAACAAGTTCTACTAATTAACCCATAGATAGGGGAGAAAAAAGATGGATTCATACCTTTCTTAAGGGTATTTGTGCATCAGTGAATATAAAAAACCCAAAAGGAATTGGAACTTGGCTCTCCAATTTCCAATTTTGAGTCTCTATCTATTCCACGACCTAGACATCCAAGTTTATAGCCAAGCAATCACCCATCTAGACACTGACACAGCTTGACCTAATGAGCTTGTGTAAACATATGGCAGAAAATTGAGTGAGAGGGATAGTAAAAAGACAAACATGGTTCAAAGCTACATGGGATAGAGAGCTGTAGAGAGCAATTATCACCCACGTCCAGAAGGTACATGGCCCACTAAAGAAGAACATATAAGTATAAACAAACTATTTTTCTGAGAGAGTGTTATATGCAGGTGTGCGTTATACGATAGGAAACGTGATATAATAATCGACTTTATTAGATTCAGTTTTGCCTTTATTCTCTTGATTGTCTTTAATGCTGGATAATAAAAAAGCAGATAGTTTTGGATAGTTCAGGTTCTAGAAATATTATTGTTGTTATTATTAATAATAACAGTAAAGTGAGTAATAAATATTTTATTCTGGTTTAAGTGCCTCGCAAGTCAATAGGAGATTACACATGACTAAAACTGTGTGTGTGTCATATGCAAATGTATAGAATCTTCATAAAATATCATTGCCGACTCATAAAAATACTCCATTGCTTCCTGCACCCAGAGAACAAATGAAAGACATAAAGAAAAAAAAAATAATGCTACCATTTACTGGGAGTTTGAATATGACATAAAATGTCTTCGGTGCTGAGATTTATTACGTTATGATAATCGTTATGAATTCCTGAGTCTTTTTATTCTAAAGATATGGGCTGACATGAGTGTAGACAGTAGCTTTGGGGTAGACAACAGTGGGTAACCAATGTTTACTAAGTGGTAAACTCTTCTGTGCCAATTCAGTTTTGCACTTACTCTGCAGATAATTACCACATTTAGCTGTTAAAATATACTTAAGTGTAACCGTCCATTGGTGTGTCTGAATAAAATGGAATTCAATAGAAATGGTACTTGATTCCAACATAAAGATCTCATCGATTGGAAGAAACAGTATCATACATCTATCTTTCTCTCGATATATCTGTCTATGTCTTTTCATTATCTATCTATCTCAGTCTGTTCATATCTATCTATTTATCTATGTACATCTCTCTCTCTCTCTCTCTCTCTCTATCTATCTATCTCTCTATCCCATCCTGTTCCTATCTATTTATCTATATCAGCCTGTTCATATCTATCTATTTATCTATCTATGTACATCTCTCTCTCTCTCTCTATCTATCTCTCTATCCCATCCTGTTCCTATCTATTTATCTATATCAGCCTGTTCATATCTATCTATCTATCTATCTATCTATCTATCTATCTATCTATCTATCACCTCTCTCTCTCTATACTATATATATATATATATATATATATATATATATATATATATGTATTTATCCTTGTATTACAGTCTATTTATATCTATCACCCTCTCTCTCTCTCTCTGTATATATATATATATATATATATATATGTATTTATCCTTGTATTATGGTCTATTTATATCTATTTATCTATCATGGTCTGTTCATATCTTTTTCCTATTTATCTTTCTATCTCATCTTGCTTTTATCTATTTATCTCTCTCAGCCTGTTTATATCTATCTATCTATCTATCTATCTATCTCTCTCTATATATATATCTTTCTATCACAGTCTGTTCATATCTATATATTTATCTATCAAAGTCTATTCATATATTTTCTATCTATCTATCTATCTATCTATCTATTTGCCCATTAATTCACCTTAAACTCTACTCTTGACTCATCATGGAGTATCCCTGCTGAACTTCTATCTATCAATATATATATATATATATATATATATATATATATATATGTATGTATCTTTGTATTACAGTCTGTTCATATCTATTTATCTATAGATAAATAGTTCATATATTTTTCCATCTATCTCATCTTGTTCTTATCTATTTATCTATCTCAGCCTGTTCATATCTATCTATCTATCTATCTATCTATCTATCTATCTATCTATCTATCTATCTATCTCAGCATCTTTATATCAATCTATCTCATCCTGTTTATATTTATGTAAATAGATCGAGAGTGATAAAGCTGCTGAGGTAGATAAATAAATAGACGTTGACATTCCATAGTACTTCAAACAAAATTTTAAGAAAGTGCTCGTCAATGTTAGATTGATTGATAACAGCTGGTGGACTTGAGAAACTTATTTTTCTACAATATTGTTTTAAGAGAAATATTTTATAAATTTCAACTGACATTAATGTTCACAGTTTTGGTCAATGAATACCAAATGTTTTCTGTATGGAAACAACTAATTTTAACACACACACAACGAGACATATACACACGCACATAAACACACACAGATACGCGCACACACACACACACACACACACACACACACACACACACACATATATATATTTGTAAATAAGACTATAAAATTAAAATGGTTATTTTATATATAAATAAAACATATTAGTAAATTAACATCTCAAACAAATGCATTTTTATATTAATTACCCTTTTTTATTTTCTTATGATAGAGGTCTCAAATGACTCATATTCCTAAATGCAATTTTCTAAAAGACTTAAATTAATTCTCTAGTGTATTTTTGAAATTCATTTTTATTTTTTTTTGTTTGTTTTTTTGGCTAACATAATTTTAAAATTACTAAAAAATCAATAAATTCTCATTATTTAAATTCTCATTAAAACAAAAGTTTTCGAAGGAAGAAAATATAATTACATAATCAAGACATTAATATTCCACACCACTTCAAATAGAAGGTTAGAGAGGAAACACCCTCATTAATATTAGAAAGAGCAATTACAGCTAGTGGCCTTAAGAAACCTATTTTTTGTAAAAACTGCTTTCAGAGAAGGATTTTATGAATTTCAACTATCTATCTATCTATCTATCTATCTTAATATCTTTATATCTATCTATCTAAGACTTTATATCTATCTATCTATCTATCTATCTATCTATCTATCTATTTATCTATGATTTTATATCTATCTATCTATCTATCTATCTATCTAAGACTTTATATCTATCTATCTATCTATCTATCTATCTATCTATCTATTTGCCCATTAATTCACCTTAAACTCTAGTCTTGACTCATCATTGAGTATCCCTGCTGAACTTCTATCAATATATATATATATATATATATATATATATATATATATATATATATATATATATATATATATATATATATATATGTATGTATCTTTGTATTACAGTTTGTTCATATCTATTTATCTATAGATAAATAGTTCATATATTTTTCCATCTATCTCATCTTGTTCTTATCTATTTATCTATCTCAGCCTGTTTCTATCTATCTATCTATCTATCTATCTATTCTAACTGTTCAGTTATTTATTACTCATGTTTCCTGTATGGAAACGGTTATTCTCACCATTATTTTAACCCTTACCATTACTCTTTAAATTCCTCAGTGATGTCTTGAAATGTCAATTCAATATATCTACACATCTTTCTCTCTTGTGATTACTGGCAGCTCTTTAATAGGGCATTAAATAAGTGTAAGTTCTCTATTCCTCCCCTATTCAATCAATTTTCTGCTGATAAAGCTGAATGCTTTGCCCATAAATACTCCTTAGACTCTTTTCTTCACTTGACTCCTCTGGAGTATCCCTGCCTACCATCTCACTTAAAACTGAATCGCTGTTGAGTGATATGTATATAACCCTACCTATGATTTCTGCTATCATCTCTAACCTGGATATACCACAAAGCATGTGGGCCAGTAAAGCCAGCATGAATGTTTTCATCTCATTTTGGGAATACCATGTGAAACCTCAATCCACTCCATGGTTTACGGCAAAATGCTCAGCTGTTATAGCACACAGGAACCATTATTTTCAGCTATACCAGCATGACACCTCTAGTCACAACAGGTGCCCATTGGTCATAATAAATGCAAGTGAGTTCTCAAAGGGGCTAAATCCCTATTTTCTGAGAGTATGAGGCACCGCATTGTCTCTAAAACTTTAGCCCTCACATTTACTGGCGTCTCTGTAATTGGGCATTAAATTAGTGCAAGATCTCTATTCTTCCTCTTTTCAATCAATTTGAGGTGTTATCATCCACTGCTGATAAAACTGAATGCTTTGCCCATTAATTCACTTTAAACTCTACTCTTGACTCATCATGGAGTATCCCTGATGAACTTCTCATTTAGAATCGAGTCTCTGTTGAGTGATATGTATATAACTCCTTTTATGTTTTCTCATCTCTAACCTAGATCTCCCTTAAAGCATGTTGACCCAGTGGTATCCCTGTAATAGTCATTAAGAAGTGTGCTCCTGAACTGTTTTCTCTAGGCTGTATCCCTTACTGCCTCCTGCTTTCCTGGCTGCTGGAAGTCATCATAAATTGTTCTAGTTTTTAAGGACTCTGGCTCTTCCAAAAATTGGCCTATTAGACATCTACCTGGGGAAACTCCTAGAGGCCCTAATTAATGCCAAATTACTTCATCTGTTATTACAGAGTCTTTTTTCAGACAAGCAATATGGCTTTCATTTCTCCAGATCAACTGCTTATGTACTAACAATAATTGTAGAAAGAGTCTATCATGCTCTAGATAAAAACAGTGAAGCCCAGGTTGTAGCATTGGACAACTCAAAAGCCTTTCACAGGGTTTGGCATACAGGTCTTCTCCACAAGCAGAAAATTTATGGTGTCTCTGGACATTTTTTTGAAATGATCCCATCTCTCCTATCAAATTGTGAAATGAAAGTTATCCCAAATGACCACTCGTCTTGATCCTTTCATGCTAATGTAGATGTCCAAGAGCACACCATCCTTGGTCCTACATTGTTTTTAACTTTCATTAATAACCTTCCCAATAACATCAGCTTTCAACTTGTTATCTACACTGATGACACAACCATTTACTTCTGCCTCGATGGTATGGCTGATCAGTCCGACAAGTTCAAAATGGCAGCTGATGTCCAAAATGACTTCAAGTCCGTCTTTAACAAGGGCAAGAGATTTCTTGTTAATTTTAATGTCTCCAAAAAAACCTCCAGGAAAGTAAGTCATTGTGTCTTCATGGGCTAACATTCTCAGCTGACATGAGGTGGAAAGATTGTATTGAATCCATTGCTAGGTCGGCTGCTAAGAAATTTGGTTTGCTGTATCATTCAAGATGATTTTTCTTTTCAGAATCAATCTAACATCTAAAAGTCTACCATTCACCCATGCTTAGCATATTGCTGCCACTTATATTCAGGCACCCTTGCTATTTACCTTGAGCTCTTTTGATAAAATCCAAAGAAGAATCAGCAATATTATTGGTCCTGATCTGGCCTGTCATCTTCAATCACATTCCCATCGCCATCTAGATCTAATCAATTTACAGATGAGTTGGCTATGCTAACATTTTCTTTTCTTGCACTTCTCACATATGGAACTCCCTTCCATCCCCATGCTTTCAAGCCAACTTTAATATGCAAAAATTTAAATGCAATGTCAATCACTATTTTCTGATTACTCTTTTCTCTTCTTGCTCATTATTAATGTTTCTGTTTCTAATTCTTCCACAGCCCTTTGTGTCTTAGTGGCTTTACTGCCTTCCTTGGGCTGATACAGATCAAAAAAAAATTTTCTTTATTCATGATGACAATTACTTTGTGAAGCACACCACATTCTTCTTCAGCAAACTCTCCCACAAAATGTTGCTGCCTTCATTCTATGCTTTATTGTTGTTAAGATGTTCTTTGGCCTGCAAGTTTATCACTTTTTTCTCAAAACATAATGATGGCCATTATGGCCAAACAGTCCAATATTTGTTTCAGCAGACCAGAGTAAAATTTTTCCTTTTATGGCAGCTATGGAACAGTGTTTTCTGTTATTTGTTGTTGATATTTTTTTTTTTTAAGCATTTCACCCCAAGCAAGGTGGGAAGCCACTAGGACGCAAGGGGTTACAGAAAATTTAGAGCAAGATCAGATAGGAGTGATAGAAGAAAGGATGAGGGTAGTGGATAGATCAAGGCAACTGGAGATGTCGATTGACATTACACTTGAATAGCTGGAGATTATAGCTCACAGGGATACAGGAGAAAGGAAGAGAGTTCCACAGGCGAGAGGTGCGAAACATGAAGCTATTAGAGTAGAAGAGATGGCTACATTTAGGAGTTTTGACAGTGAAGGGATGAGAGCAGGATGCCAGCCTCATAGGGCGCTGGAACTCATGACGTCTGGAAACCAGCGAATGCTACTCCTCAGAGCAATTTCCATGAAAGTATTTGTAGAACAGACAGAGGGAGGTGACGGTGCGTCTGTGAGAAAGTGACTGTTGATGAGACGCTAGGGCAGGGCCAACCACATTGCATATCTGCCTCTGGAGCCTATCAAGAACCCCGAGGCAAACAGAAGGGGCACCAGACCATATATGGCAGCAATACACCATGCAAGGGCGAATTGTGGATTTGTAGATCTGGAGGATCGACTCCGGGGAAAAAATCTTCCTAGCGCAGCTCAGGGAGCCAACTTTCCTTGCAGTGGACGAGGCAATTGACTCGATGTATTTATTCCATCTCAGGTCAGCCGTCAACGTGAGACTGAGAAGCCGCAGAGAGTTGCTCTCGAATATGGCATTGATTTTGCACTTTTCACACCAAAATTCTGAGGGGCATAATGGCAGCATGTCTCATACTTGCCCACAGTTGTATGCAGTAGTTTCAAGCACATAAAGATAAACCAGATTTGCGGAGGTCTTGGCTGACTTCTTTTGATTTTACAATATCAAAAAACATTTTGACAGTCAGCATTAATATATATTTCTTGGTAAAACGTTAAATAACTTAGGAGATATCAGTTCGTCTATCAGAAACTTCTACATAATTTATTTACTAATATTAACATATTTAAAAATGTCAGTACCTAGAGGAATGACTGCTTGTACGTGTAGAGGGCGTAATGGTTAGTAACACGAAAATGGAAATTTAAAAGCCGAGCTCCAATTACAGTTATATTCGCTAACACATAAAATACTCTTGGGAAACGTATGAGTCGACCTTCAGCTATGGTTTAATTAGGACTTGCATGTGCAGGTGGTGTAATGGGTAAAGGCTCAGAATAGGAAATCAGAGAATCAAGTTCTAGTTCCACTCGGGTTTGTTATATTCACTTTTCCACCTCTTCTCTCCCCAGCTATGGGTTAATTAGTAGCTTTTGTAGTAATAAATCATTATTATCTTCAAAAAAATTCTTACAATCTAGAAATATTTTATCCTTCTGCAAGAGATTGATAAGCCATGAAAAACTAATCAATCAATTAACATTTCTAAAGACGTGACGTCAAAAGTGAAATCTTTATGAGAATAAAGTTGAGGAAATGTGAAAAACTGATATTAAATGTATTTAACGGATAATGTATGTTGACATCAGAATTCAAATTTATCTATCTATCTATCTATCTATCTCAGCCTCTTTATTATCGGTCTATATATCGTAGGCACTTTTATATATATATATATATATATATATATATATATATATATATATATATAGGTAAAATGAGAACAAATGGAGTATAATTCCACTGTACGTAACATTTAATTAATATATATATATATTTCATATAATTAGAATTAAGATAACATTAGTGAATGACCATTTTTACCCACAAATTTTAAATTTAAAATTCACAGGACTTTTCAAACTTTTTATGGAGTCAGTTTATTGAAAAGTACTCTTCAATAAACTGACATCATAAACAGTTTGAAAAATCCTGTGAATTTTAAATTTAAAATTCACAGGTGACTAATGGCATCTTAATTCCAATTGTATGAAATATTTTGCTCTGTTTAATGAAAATAAACATTGTGTGCTCTTTGTGAGTCAGTTTTAACTTTTAATATTCAGTATTTAAAATTCTGTATTGTGTTAATAAGACTCACTTGGATTATATCAATAGATGACTATCTATCTATCTATCTATCTATCTATCTATCTATATCTGTTCATTTGCATGCGTTCATATCTATCTTTGTATATTTGAGTGTGTTCATATCTATCTTTTTATTTATTTATATCTGTTCATTTGAGTGTGTTCATATCTATCTATCTATCTATCTATAATATATCAAACAGTAATTCATTTATATGTTTATATATATATATATATATATATATATATATATATATATATATAGTGTTTATCAAAAATACTTTTACAAACATTGCAGGTGTGTTCCTCACCCCAAAACAAGGAAAAAAGTCCATATAAAGTCCATAAAAACATACGTCCACAAATCCTTTATTTTTGAGTTATTAAGTTTAAAGTATGTTTATGGTAGATGGCACTGTGTTGCCATGTAGACATGGTTACATTTG